ACAAATATGCTAATTATGTAAAATATGTTATAAATGATAATAATAATACAAATAATAAAAATATAATAAATAATATATGTGTTCTATTTGGCAGATATAGAAGATTTGGCAGATCTGACAGATCTGGCATATTTAGCATATTTGACAGGTTCATCAATTTTTGCCAGTTTCAATGGCTTATTTGACAATAAACGTCTTATTACATTTTAGTGAGATCCAGACTTTTAAGTATCTAATAGAGTCTTAAGGACGCATGGCAGTAATCGTATATGTAGAACTATTGACATTTGTTTGGATATTCTGGGTTGTGTTAGTGTTAGTCAGAAGATCTGATTTTGTCTAATTTACTTGTATACTGTTCAAGTCATAATAACTATTGGTGATATCTATGATTCTATTGAGCTGTTATTTCGAATCTGCAATCTATAGTGTATCATCCATGTATGCTAATACTGATGTTTTGCATGATTGTTTATTAAGGGTGTTTAAGTGAACATTAGGTTTCCATTCTGCTGACATGATATAGTCAAGATCAGAATTTTGCACTCTGTATTAGAGACTGGACTCGTATTTGTTTAACTCGAGTCAACTCAAGTTAAATTCTGATTCGAGTCAAGATTTTCTTGATTTAAGTCAGAATTCAAGTTGACTCGAATTAAAACTACTTAAGTCAACTCCAAATTTATGCTATATTTTATAAATAACATGTAATTCTTTTCTTAAACTGCATTTATTAGCATAATATAATTAACATTTATTATATAATTATTGAATAAAAATTTTTTAAAAAATTTTCTTTAGTTCGGTTTCAAAAATATCACAAAATTTTGATTCGCATTGTACTTTTTTAGCCCATATTATGACTTTAACTCGAGTTTGACTTGAGTTTCTAACTTGAATTTCTAACTCGAGTACTCTTCAAGTCAAAAATTTCTTGATTTGACTTTGACTCAAATTAACTTTTCTGACTCAAGTCCAAACTCTACTCTGCATAATAGGGGATCGTAGTAAATACATCACAGGAGGGGTAAAATGATTTCACCTTGATCGATACCTGAGAAAACCTTGTAAGTATCTGTAAATCCAAAAGAAGTAAAAACTTAGTTTTTTCTTTGTATAAACATGTTTAGGATGAAGAATATAAAAACTTTAGGAAGCTTTAAGCATTCGAGAGCGCTGACTATCATAAAAATATTGACGTGATCGTAAGCTTTTGACATGTCTTGTAGAAGGATTCACAGTTCTTTTTTGTTAGAGAGGGCATCATTTTTAATGTTATCTAAGATGTGTAGAGGTTCAAAAGTAGAGTAAAAAGGGAGTCCTGCAAAGTTATATCCTTTAAGGATATTATATTAGATGAAGACTGTTGATAGTCGCGTATTAATGAGTTTTATAAAAGCTTTTCTTGGACATTTTAGTAAGGTAATCGGCCTAATATTATTTAGGTTAAATTCCTAAAGTTTGAGTTTTTGAATTAGGTAAACATACGCTAAGTTCCAGCGATGATGAATTGCAGAAATCGACAAACAACCACATATTAAATACTAAAAGATCTTTTTAGCTGAGGGACCTAGATTTTTAAGCATTTTATTTGATATTTTAGATGGCCCAGGTGCTCTTCCGTCAGCAAGAGAATCAACAATAGAATACCATTTTTCTGCTGAAGGTGGTGACATCAAGCTATTGTATATATTAGAGTCAATGTTTTCAAGTAGACTGTACGAAGGGAGCCATTCATCAGGGATGTTTTTCAGTTCATATGTAGTACCTGCTGCTCTTTGAAAATGATTGTTGACTGTTTGTTTAACTAAGTATTCATCTATGAGGAGATCTTGAGCATTCCGTGATAAACATCTGTTTAATACGATTGTTTTCCTTATATGGTTTAGTGTTGAATCAAGCATCTTTTTTTGATTATTAGTGTACGCATCTAATCGCTGTTCTAAATTTTTCTATATAGAGGCGAGTTTGTATTCATTTTCATAAATTTTGGTCTTGTATAAAAGGACTTTGAGTAGAAGAACAGTGTCTGATAAGAGGAAGTCAACAAAATTAAACGGGTAGTCTAGGTGTAGATGTGCTGTAATAAATGCAAGTGAGTTAGCAATATTGCGATATTTGTCATATATTTGTATCCAATTGATAGGAAGAGAAATGCCTCTTTTGACTTTGAGAAGTAGCTTTTTGAACTTGTGTAAGATTTTTTGATGTGAGTATAGACTTTTGGGGCTAGGTGGTCTTGGATATTTGAATTGGCCAAAAGATTTTCTGAGTGATATACATTTCTTAGCTGCTTTAATTAAAAGATCTTGAAAGAGATCCCAGTGTTTGTTTAGTAAAGAATGCGTCCAGTATGTTTCTTGGTTGATCATTTTCAATTAGCTACCATTTAGTAACGCGTCGAGCTTAGCTTTAAATTTACTCCATAAGTCTTTGTTCATATTATCAAAATTGAAGCTGATTTTTTTGGGAATTTTACACTTGTAAAATTTAATGTCTAGAAAATTCGTGATTATAGCAATGACTACGTGGTGATCTGATATGTTCATATCGAATGCAATTATATGACAATCTAATAAATTGAGGGAGATGTCAGTAGATGTCCAGATGTAATCGATCCTGGAAGAGGCTTGACTTGAAAAATAAGTAGAATAGTGAGTTCTATTTCGATTGTGTTTGATTGTAAAGGTATTAAACAGTAACAGTTTATGAAAATTATCAAAGAGTTTTAAGCTGTTAGTGGAATTATGTGTTCGATCCATGTCAGTATTAAAGTCTTCCAGAATGATCAAGTGAAAGTCATTTATAGTGGCTTCGTTAATCCAATTGTTGAGGACTAGTTAGACTTCTTTTTTCATTTTTAGGTCAGCTGGTGGTAAGTAGCAATTAATGATACATAGTCTTTGTTTATTTGCGAATTGTAAGTCAACACGAATCACTCAGTCAAGCTTGGTTTCATGCTTGTAAACATGATAAGCAATCTTTCTGTTGAGTATTATTCCAATACTGAAAGTGGTGCGTTATTTAGATGTGAAACTAAAAAAAGATATGAAGGAAGGATAAGATGAGTTAAAGATCTTTCATGTTGGGGTTTGAAGTTAGTTTTCTGAAGACTAATAACATCTAAGTTGTATGAAGAGTATAATGATAAAAGATGGTATTATTTGGCGACGTTAGTAAACGATCAGACATTATGAGTTGCAAAAGAGAGTTTGGGTACATTAATGGGGTTGTATTGAAAGTATTGTTAGTATCTGTAGAGACAGTAATCATAAAACATATTATTAAAATTGTGGAAGGCTCTTTAAAGCCTTTTTAGCTTCAATATCATAATTGGTATTGAGAGTATATGTTGTTGGTGTTTTGTCGATTTGAAGGAAGTCATTGTGGATGAAAATAGCATAAAATGTGTTACACATAGTAACCAAGGTATTGACTGTTTCAGTAAAATTCTTGAGGCGTAAATTTTGGGCTTCTGTGATTTCTGTGAGTGCTGAAATGGTTTGTTTTGTTTGTTAATGATTGAGGTGGAGGCATCAATAATAGGACCATTTCTGTATTGTTCTATATCATAATTCGCCATAGTTTCTTCATCAGGGAAGCTGACTTTGATATTGAGAGTTTGCTCAATTACTTCCATTCATTTCATAGTGAAATTCAAAGTGAGCGTGAAATCATCAAGTTTTGTGTGAGTAGTAGGAAACTAGTTTTGATGAAGTCTTTGAAGTCTTGATTACCATTTTGTTCATACATAGAGCCTCCTGCAGTTGTTTCTATAGAAATATCACGTGATCTGTATTGCTGTTGATTGGGATACTTGGATTGTTGTTCCATATTTGGAGGAATATCATCGCTCTAATCTGATATTAAACTAAGGGGTTATTTTGGTAAGGTATTATTGTTATTTTTTGATGCAGAAGATGGCTTTGTAGGTATACTGGTCATTTTAGCTTGTTTTTGAGAACCATCTGTAACAATGTTAGCAAAGGTAATATTGGGGCTAATAGTTCCTTTACAAGGATAAATAGGAGCTTTATAGTTATTGTATTATGCTGGTTGAAAACGTTGATATAAATGTTGGGTATTTTATCTTGTGGATTGTGACATTTTTTTGGACAATCTTTGATTTTATGATGTGAAGAGAAGCATATGACATATAATTTGACTTTGGTTTTTATCCATTCTACACGTTTACTATTGATCGTGAGATTATCATTACTGATTGCTGCTTTGTAATCATCAGTTAAAGGAAAATAAAAGAAAGCATGTTTGAGGTTGTGATAATTAGATTGTGCCTTAGAAATAATCCAAGCTGTTACATTAATCATTAGACCTAGATTAGATAAATCTTTACCTGTGATATAGCGAGAAAGACATGTAAGCTTGGCTGAGAATTTAGATCTTTCCAAGATTTTATTACGTGGCAGATCGCACATATGAAACTGAATCATGTCATTGAGGATGAAAACCCTATAACCTTTCTTGAGTTCAACGAAGTTAGTATCTGAATCATATATAATTGTAGCTTGTTGCCAGAGATTTTTTGTTTTCATGTTAAATCTGACGATCTTGCTAAATCGGAAAAAAATTTTTTTTATGTGTAATTCAGTGACGTCCAATGGTATCTCAGTAACTTTGATCGATTGTTGTGGAATGAAAGGATGTTTAGGTACAATTTCTAGGGTAAAAATATGCGATTTTCCAAATTAGGCAATATGACTTTACAAAACGCGTCCCTTTCATTTTTGTCAGAAAATGTCACTTTTAAAATCTTTTTTAATTAGTCCTCTGGGTGTTTAGCAAACACAACACCTGAAAATGAGTCAAACTGATTAAAAACAAGGTCAGTGACATTAGAGATTTTTGCTTGAGGAGATTTTTCAGGGTAATCATCCGCTGAAAAGAAGGCGAAAAAATTTGTTTTTTTGGTAAAAATTTCTTGAGGGCTTTTTTTATTATTCAAAAAATTTTCTGAAGCGTCGTTAGCGTCGTCGACGTTCATGAGTGCTTGTTCAAAGGTGACAACTATAGTTGTATCATCTGTTAAAACTTCTTTGCCCTTTTCTTTATTGAGCAGAAGAGGGTCAACATTCATAATAACTGGAGTTTCTTTATTGTCGTTGTTGGTGGAGACACTACTTTCAGGTTTAGTAGTCTGTAAAGTATTCTGTCTTTATTTGGTTGTTACTCTGGAGTGCTAGGGCAAAAGCGAGGTTGTTGTTTTTGTTAGTTTTTATTGTTCTCTTTCTTTGGTCTGCCCATGTTGCAGAAAGAGTTCTATTTTCAATTTTATCGTTTAAAAAATATTTTTTTTTTTTTTATTATTTTTAAAGTGCGGTAGTTTCGCAATATCTTTATTATAAAAGTAAAATAAAAGTAAAGTACAAATCAAAAGAAATTACAAAAATCTCGTAAAGAACTAATCTAAAATTAAAACTATAGAAGACCGATCTTGCACTTCCCCAAAATCAATTTATAACCTAAGCTAGAAAAATCATATTTCGAGTAAACATACGTAAAAAGCAGAGAGGGCGAGGCCATTACTACACCAAAAATTTGACCAATGATCCTATCTGTACTATCGAAGATATTGGAGAAGAGCTAAAAGAATGAGTGAAGAGGTTAAATGATAAATCAAAACCTGATGTGACGAAATTAAAAACTTTAGAGGTAAGAGTAATGTTAAAAGATTGTTTAAAATTATGAACTAGTTAACAACGATCGCGCCAAACGTTTTGTGTGAGTTCAAAAATTAAGAGCATAAAAGAAGAGTAAGCAGCTAAAGCTACACTTTGGGATGAAAATTTTTTTAGAAAGAATTTAAAAAGGGGTATTGGAACTATGCCTCTGATAAGAGCAAAAAATTTGGAAGTATTATAAGTATCAAGCAATTATACATTCAACTGATCAATTTCATAATCATGTGCATAGGTGATGTTTTTTAAATAAATTTTTGATTGTTGGATTATCTTTTTCATTTCGTAGTTGACAGTAAGGCAAATCCATATGTGATAAAAGTTTTCGTTAGCAGCATCGCATCTGAGACACAAAAGTGAATAGTCATAAATGGAAGGATGTCTTAATTTGAGAATCTCAAAAGTTGGTAACATTTCAAGAAGACATTAATATTTCGTTCTTCTAATAAAGGAGACAGAGTAAGAGGTAGATTGTGTTACTGTATTGTCATTGAGTATGAAGGAGGTGGCAAACCAGTTAATTTGATAGAGCTGTGAATGTTTTGTAAGGACAGAAAGTTGAAGTAACTGAGAAAGAGAACATTTACAGAATAATTCTTTACAAAATTGTCTGATAGGTATTAATACTGAGGCGTTATTATGTGTGAAATAGCATCGAGATGCGTTGTTTGTATAGAGCTGAAGGGCTGTGGTGTCTAAATTGGATTTTGTCAGAGCGTTAACTTTGTTATTGAAGATGTTATCAGTATGAGTTTTGACTTTAATCATTTTAACTGTGAGGTTGTGAGTATTCATTATATTAAAAAAACAAGACCAATGCGCATAATTATTAATTTTGAGAGCAGGGTGAACAGTGGAAGCTTTTGTGAGAAGGAACTTATATTTGTTAAACTGGAAAATGATGACTGCTGAATCAGTATAAAAGGTAACGTTACAGGAAGGGGGGCTGTAAGTAAGGCAGTAAAAATAGCTGCGAATTTAGGTAATGATGAGGAAGGAAAAGGAGATGTAAAAGCAGAAGAAAAGGAAATCATTGGTAAACTTTGGTGAGTTTGAAGCCAGGCAATATTCATTCTTATCGTAGGAAGACCTAAGTCTTTCAGAAATCCGTTTGTGTAAAATTCAAGAACAGAAGAAGAAGAAAAGGATCGAGATATGATTAGTAATTGAGAATTAAAAGGAGGTGATAGATATTTGTCAAATAAATTTTTGAAGAAAAGCGCAGCAAAGCTTCTCAAAGTTACAAATAGGCTTAGGTTATTATTTTTTAGAAAACATGTTAAGGCAAGTTCATAAAGTGCACCGTTGGAAAGAATACTGTAGAGTCGATTAATACGGTCATTTCCATTTGACGTAGGAATTTTTGCACAAAGGAAGATAGGTAACATAAAACAATAACTGTTGTAACGCCTTCTGAATTTAGTGGCTGCATTCTGATGAAAGCGGCAATGAACACAAGGCTCAAGGATTGTCATATTTTCAGGACTAATTGAAGGTATGTGATGTCTAAGATGTATGGTATCATGATCGATTTTTATAATTCTTCCTATGACGAAATAATTGATCGCAGTGTACCAACCAACTGCAAATCTAGGTGTTTGATGAGAGTAAGTAGGAAGGGTAATGGAGTAGCCATAGCAAAACTTGTATTTAAAATTAAATGCAAGTGAAAGTAATCTGTCTAGATCTGGATTTAGACTTGATTCTAAGGCTTTAAACCATTTTGCAGTTTGAAAACAACGGGTAACAGGATTGGTAATAGTGTTCAGATCACGAAATGTGAACATATAGTTTCCTTGGTAGTTGGTGAGTTGCTTCATGAAGAGTATGGAAAACTTCCGTAGCCTATAAGTATGCTTTCTGTATTCGTAGTTTAAAAATTCAGAAATCGGGAAATCCCTTTCTAGAATTCTATTGGATAAGGTTGAAGGTACATTGAGTTCGAGTTTTATAATTTTGAGATCACATAACAGAGAAGGGAGCCAATCATCAGATCGTGTTATTTTTGAGAATGGCCAATAGATCAAAGGGTTCTCAAAGAGCCATTCCTTTTGTTGAAGTTGAAGGGTACATAGATGAAAAGATCTTCCAAGTATGTTTATTTCATTGGACATCTGTAAAAAAGCATTACTAAAATTTTGTATTAAACGTTGATACAGAGAGGTTAGATTGTAGAAGTAATATGAATGGAACAAATCCGTCGGGTGTGTCTGGAGAGTTTGAGTTTTCTTTTGACAAAGGCGATGTATGTAGCGACAAAGCTTTTGCATTGCATTTTAGATGGTAAAGTAAGTTGTGATCTGTACTCAATTCTTGGTAAAAGAATAGTATTAAAGATATATATAAGTTGCGAGTCTGTCAGGCGTTTATGCTTCATGATGATAACGGCTTTTTTTATTTCACTGTGTATTTGATTGTATATAAAACTCTTGTTAGACTTAAGTGAGATCCAAATACCCAAGTAGTGCACACTAGCTTTAGGAGATAGCGCATTGATCAATCATATAGTGTTATTATGAATGATTTCAAAAGGATTCTGTTGGAAAGTGTTGACGAATAGTTCTGATTTTGACCAATTTACTTGTATATCATTAAAGTCAAAGAAACTGTTAGCAATAGATTTAATATTTGTTAGGTCTTCTCTGGATTTAGCCAGCCAGAGAGTATCATTCATATAAGCGAGTGCTGGGATCTTCAGATGAGAATTATTAGTAAAGGGAAGACGAGCATCAGGATGCTAATCAACTTCTGTGACAAAACTATGTTGAGAATTGTTAATAGCGTATAAGAGCAGATCGTAGTATATACACCATAATAGTAGTGATATAACTTCACCTTGATCAATACCTGAATGCATCAGATATGTATCGGAATTGCCATGAGCTGTGAAGACTTGGTTAAATCTTGGAAGAAAAGTCTCAGTATTGTTTGAGTGAATTTATATAGAAGATTTAGTCTTGCTAAAGCTGCTGCGAGAGTGAAAACATTCACACAATCGTATGCTTTAGACATATCTTGTAACAGAACCCATAATTCTATATTATTATAAATAGCGTTCTGTTTAATATTATCAAAAAGATGTATGGGGTCAAAGGTAGATTTAAAGGGTAGACCCGCAAAGTTGTATCCTTTAAGAATATTGTGTTGAACAAAGATGTCAGCAAGCCGTGTATTTAATAATCAAACAAAAGCTTTCCGCGCGCTTTCTAGTAGAGTTATTAGACGGGTGTTATTTAAATCATATTTCCATGGTTTTGGTTTAGGGATTGGGTATACGTATGCCAGATTCTAACAGTGAGGTATTGACGAAATTTGCAGACAACCACAAATTATATACCATAGGTGTTTCTTTGCGATAGGTCCTAAATGTTTCAACATTTCATTTGAGATTTTTGAGGGACCAGGGGTTCTATTGTTTGGAAGTTGATCAATGATCCTATACTATTCATCCGCAGAAGGTAAGGATATCAATTTGCTATAATGTTGGAGTCAATTGAATTTAATAGGATGTATGTAGAGATCCATTCCTCTAGTATTGCTTTTGTATGATGTGTGGTGCTTGCAACCTGTTGGAAGTGTCTAGCAACTTCTTTTTTACATCCTGTTCTTCAAAAAGTAAGTGACAAAGTAGAGATAAGTTATCAATACATCTATCCAATACAATGGTTGTTTTTCTATGATTAAGGACTGAGTCAATCATCTGCGATGGATTGTGTTTGTAATCTTTTACATAGGCGTCTAGAGCATCTTGAATACTCTTAAGCTTAAAATTGTGTTCACACAGTTCTGCCTTTATTTTAAGACTAGCTAGAAGAAGTTTGATATCTGAAAGGATAGTGTTAGTCATATCTACGTGAAGAGGACTGTTTAAGGGAATAGTGTTTAAACCATTAGCGTGAGCAAGCTGTAAAATTGTGAGTAGAGGTTATTTCATTTATCATGTACAATTAGGTCTTTCAGACATTTTTTTGTAGTTTTATCAAAATGATGGAGTAATTTGATATCATTGTAGATCTTTGACAGGACGACTGGTTTTTTGATGAGTGAAAATTTTTTGACTTGTGGATTGAAATACATTTTTTTGCCACAGAGATAAGAGTATCTTAAAAGAGGTCCCAAGAAGAATTAAGAAGACTTTGGGATCAGATGGTATTAGGTGAAATATGTTTTAGCACATAGGAATTCAAATTATTATCCAAGTTATCTCTGAATTTGGACCATTTTGAGTCATCCATCAAGTTAAAATTGAAGGAAGTTTTAACAGGACTTTTCCTTGTAGAAGTTGAGTGTTTTAAGAAATTAATGATCTTTATTAATACAATATAATGGTCTGATATAGAAGAATCCATTTGTATAACTTTACAATCGAGTATATTAAGCGCTAGTTCAGGTGTCATATAAATATAGTCAATCTTGGATAAAGAATTCTTATTAATACAAGATGGGTATAATATGCGCTTTTCTTTAAATTAAATGTTAAACGTACCATATAAATCGTAATTGTT